GAACAAAATGAAAAATTTTGATTGGTTGAATGCAGTTTGCACGGTTTGTACAAATTGAGTGGTTTGCATTTGATCGCTACCCTATATATATATATATATATATATATATTAGACATTAAACGATTCCATATTAGTTATATTCAAAATTACATTACAATATCAACTGTAATTTTATTTTCTTATTTACATGAATCTTCAATTTTGTTTTTTGAGTTTTAGTCTTAATTAGGGATGCTCAAAATACCGACCAATTCAACCAAAAAAAAACTCAACCCGACACATAGTTGATACAAAATTGGGCTAACTCGCATCTATTTGAGTTGAAATTGGGTTAGGATTTTTTGAACTTAACTCCACCCGATAAACAAGATGCACTTTTATACTATAAATTTAATATGATTCTTAAGTCCTTGATTAACATATATATATTGGACATTAGACCAATCCATAATTAATTATATTCAAAATTATATTACAATATCAACTATAACTTTATTTTCTTATTTACATGGACCTTCAACTTTCTTTTTGGAGTTTGTTAGTCTTTTTTGTATGTTATCATTTTGATTTATTTCATTTAAAAAGAACACTTAGCTAGATTGCAAACTAACATATAGCAAAGTTTCAATCCAACCAACCCACACGGTTTGGGTTAGATTGGATTGAGATTTTTTAAATCGCAAACATTGGGTTGAATTGTTCATATGCTTTCAATCCGGCCAATCTAACCCATGTACACAGTCCTAGTCTTTATGTATGTTATCATTTTGATTTATTTCGTTTAAACAAAACACTTGGGTAGATTGTAAAATGATATATTAAGATTTCAACCCAACTAAACCGTACAGTTTGGGTTGTAGATTTTGTTGGATTAGGCTAGATTTTTCAAACCGCAAATATTAATTTACGTAATTAAAGTGACTTTAACTCAACCAATTCAACCATTGTACAGTACTAGCGATTAAAAGCACAATAAGTAAGAGTAGAGTATCGCTTCACTTGTACGCTCCTCTTGAATGTGAGTGAATATAGTAGATCTTTTCTAAGCCAAGCTTAAAAGAGACTTTTGATTCTAACAATGTCGTCGTCGTCGTCGTCGTCGTCAGACAGTTGCAATTCTCGCCACTTCTCGTGGCTCATGAAATCATGTTTCCCAGACCCACGACCAAATACATCCCTCCATTATCATCCTCCTCCACCGACCACCACCATTTCTTCTCTACCCGACGACCTCTTGCTTGACCTCCTTTCTCGCCTGCTTCAATCTTCCCTACCATCTCTTTCCCATGTCTGCCGTAGATGGACACACTTAATTAACTCGTGTGAATTCTACGACCTCCGCCGCCGCCGTGGTCTTCTCCATTTTGCCGTCTTTCTTGTCTCCTTTTCCGATTCAGGGTTATTCGTCGCCAATTACAAAGTGGGTCACGACTGCCACTGGAGGACAACTTCTTTCTTGTCCAACTACGATGACGTTGTTTCACCGGCGAGTTATAGCGCTTTATCTTCACACGCGCGGTTAGCTGCGATTGGCCGCTGGATCTTCATCATCGGAAAAACGGCGATGCTCCGGTGTGACGCCTGGACTGGGGCGTTAACACCCAGATCGAAAATGTCGGTGTTGAGGAAGAAGTTTGCGGTTGCTGTTATCGCCGGAAAAATCTACGTCGCTGGTGGGTCTACTCGTACGGCGGCGGTGGAGGAATACGACCCGAAGAGGAACGCGTGGCGCGTGGTGTGTCACGCGCCGAGGATGCGGTACGGTTGTGTCGGTGCAGCCGTGGACGGAGTTTTTTATGTGATAGGTGGACTGAAGATCGGCACCGCCGGTGGTACCGGTGCACACGTCTACGCCAGCTCCATGGATTTGTATGATGTGGAGGCACGTAGGTGGCTGAGAAGCCGAGCCGTTCCTGGTGGTGGATGTGTGGTGGCGGCTTGTTCTTCCGGCGACCATATATACATTCTAGCTAGCCACGCGGTGGAGCTATCGTTTTGGAGGTTCCATGGCGGTAGAAAAATTGAAAACCACCATGTGAATTTTGGAGAATGGTGTCGACTGAAAAGTCCGCCCCTTCCGACACGAATCCAGCTCGACGGCGGCTTGAGGTTCAGCTGTGTTGGTGTGGGGGCAAAGGTGGTGTTGATACAAATAATGGGTTGTATCGACGATTTGTTACGGAGGGGGGGCCGGAGCGGCAGAGGTGTGAAAGATGCGTTGGTGTTGGTTTATGATTCCGGGGGCGGAGAATGGAGTAGAGGGGCGGACTTGCCGGATGTTATTCGACGCGCCGCCTGCGTTTGTGTGGAGTGGTAATCAGTAGGATGCGTAGATTGGAAGTTTTCAAGGGAATCTGTTGACAAATTTACCCATTACTATTTTGACTATTGGCATCTCGTATCTTGTGATGTTTGGATGGAAATGGAAGGCATTCAAAACATGTGGGTTACATGTAAGGGTATTATGGTCATTTAGATTTTAGATTTTTGTTTGTTCTTTTTGTTTTACCTAAAATCATATCAATTATTTCTAAAATATGATTAAGAGTAGATAACGTTTTGTCGTACCTGTGGTTTATTACAAATTTTGGATTTCTTCCTAGTGGTTTTGAAAATTCCAGTTTTTGTAATTCATATCTATTTTCGTTTTTAAGTTTAAATATTACTTTTAAGTATAACAGACTAAAATAAAAATAAAATATAAACCATAGGAACAAAAAAAACAAATAAAGCTTTAACCATGAGGACGAAAACAGAAATCTATAGGAAAAATTGCATCAAAATAGAACCAACTTTCACATGATTCCTATTTTGGGGAACGAACTTTCAAAATCGTCATTTTGGGGAACCAACTTTTACCTGATTCTTATTTTGGGGAACCAACTTTCAAAATCGTCATTTTGGGAAACCAACTTGAAAAATAATTATAGAAAAATGGGAAAATTACACCAAAATGAAACCAACTTTCACATAATTCCTATTTTGGAGAACCAACTTTTAAAATCGTCATTTAGGGGTTTCTATCGAACTTTTTGTTTATTTAAGGGTCTGATTGATCTGTTGAACAGGTAACAGATAATTTAAGGGTCTCTATCAAACTTTTGGTTGGATTTGCCAAATTTGATTTAAACTTTAATATTGACACAGATTGGTTAGATATAAAAATCTTGAATGTAATATTTAATATTTATTTTTTATTGCATCAATTAATTTTTTTCTATTAAATTGATTTTTTATTGCATTAGAAAAAAACAATTTTTATCGTGGTAATTTGGATTTTTTTGAAAAATCTTCAATTTGATATATGAATTTAAAAAAATGAGATTTGAAATGAAAAATAGATTTTATTGCATTAATTTTTGAAAAGAAATGAATTTTAGTTATTTTTCTATAATTATTTTGCAAGTTGGTTTCCCAAAATAGGAATCAAATGCAAGTTGGTTTCCCAAAATGACGATTTTGAAAGTTGGTTCCTCAAAATAGGAATTAGGTCCAAGTTGGTTCCCCAAAATGACGATTTTGAAAGTTGGTTTCTCAAAATAGGAATCAAGTCCAAGTTGGTTCCCCAAAATGACGATTTTGAAAGTTGGTTCCCCAAAATAAAAATCAAGTGAAAGTTGGTTCCCCAAAATGACGATTTTGAAAGTTGGTTCCCCAAAATAGAAATCAGGTGAAAGTTGGTTCCCCAAAATAGAAATCAGGTGAAAGTTGGTTCCATTTTGGTGCAATTTTCCCAAATCTATACTATCTTATTAAACAAATTCACTAAAAATAAAGTCTTAAAATTTTAAATACCCAAAATACCTTTTACTTTACCTTTACTTTTCTAACCCTTTCCCTTTGCCCGGCTCCCCTCCCCCAAGCCGACGTTTCAGAAAATCGTCTCTCCCAAGACGACGATTCAGGGATTTCTCCCACTCCTCAGATGACGAATCCCTTTAAAAAGAGTTTCCATCGCTCAATCGTTCAATTTGTTTTACCCTCGCTCTCCATCTGCCATTTCAGGTAACAATGCGATTTCATTTATCTGTTTGTGTTTTGCTGATTTCGGTTTGCTTGAAATATGCTCTTGATTTATATATTGTTTGGTCGCTGATTTGGGTTTGCTTCACTAATCTCTTGATGCGATTTCCTTCCTCTTTTCAAAATGTTTTGTTTTTGGGTTCGAATCTTCCCCTCTTCAAATGTTTCGATTCATGAATTTATGTTTATTTATGTTTGAGGTTCTTAATTATATATATATATATATATATATATATATATATATTGGTTTTCCCTTTTATTAATTCGTGGTTTCATTAGTCTTTTAAGTCGAAACCTATAAGATGGATTGGTATAGAAGAATGTTCATTTTTACTAATTAGTAGTTAATACTATATTTTTGTTGGACTTTCTGATCTTGCTATACCCAATATTCTTTCTGAATTTTTGTTTGGGATGAAATTGCTCTTTTTATCATTTGGAGGCTGCTCTTTGCAATCCATTATTGTCGTGGTGATGATTTTGGTATTAAATCTCTTAAAACGTGCTCCAAACCAGTTTTATTGTACAAAGGGCTACTGTTTTTTGGTTTAAACCTCATCAAATGATGATATTTTGAGGTGCTTTGAGTTTGATATGAAGGGGCTTGTGGACAGATTCTGTTTTTTTACTTGTAGAGTGGTTCAGAGGAGGGTCTGTTTTTACTCTGAATGCTGCTGCATGTTTTTTTAGTACATGGATCAATTTTATAAGTTGGTCTTTGCTTGGTCTTAATGATGAAACTTTCATTTGGTGGTTGTTGTATATGGCTTATCTTTTGGCAATGGCCTATGGGTCCAGTATGTTGTCAAAAGTATGGGCTATGGTGGTTGTTGAATTTAGTTTGGAGTATGCTGTCAAAAGGATAATGAGAACTAAAAGAGTGGAAATAAGGTGGATAAATTATAAAAGCCTGCTAACTCTTGGAACTGTGAGGCCTCAATCATTGCCATTATTTTATCAGTGTAATATTACTCTACAAATGTTCACTTGTAGTCGTGCAACTATTTGTTATTTAACTCATCCAACTGCAGCAACGGACTTTGAGCACGTTATACTTCTACCAAGGGACTTTGATCACCATATTAGAAGTCCCGTTGCAACAATTTTCTAGAAATAGGTGTCACCATGACTACCTTTTGATCTATTTGTTGTAATTGATCTTGTCTGAAATGCCTATTCTGCAGCATTCAAGTTGAGGTTGTTGTTCTTGTTGGAGATAGATTTTTTCACCAGCTTAATCATTGAAATGAGGTGGTGACTGAACATGCACGACATAAAGCTCTCTGAAGATTATAGAACTCGAGATAAAGATCGAAAAACACCAACACCGAACTGACATCACCTCTTTTTAAAGTAGATTGGGCCTTAAGGATCATGATATTATTTTGTTTTTGGTTTATATATATTGTTTCTATTCTATTAATGGAGCTCTTTTTGCTATCTTGGAACTAACACAGGTCATATCGAAATTAACAGATAGGAGAAATTCTCAGATACCATATAGGGAGTCAAAATTGACCAGGCTTCTTCAATCTTCCTTTAATTTGTTGTGTTGAGCTGAACGAGTATCAAAGACTCCCACCATCTTGTACTGTTCTCGGAACTATGAAATTATTCTGTGGGCATTTGTTGGTGTTGCAGAAAGCAGTAGAAATCTGAGTAGGTACGACAACTTCTCCGTTTTGATCATTCAAATACATGATAGTGCTATTGATATAAACTTCAAAATAATCAATTGCCACATTTATTAGCAATTAGTCTACAAGCTACACCAATACACACACACGTATGTAAGCCAAATGACCTTATCTTGCAACAAATCATCCAAGTTAAGACTGGAGAAGGAATCAATTACAACAACTGTGGCAGTTGAATCATCTTGCAACACCCTCTCAAGTGAATCAACCACAGTCTGATTGTTAGTGTCTCCAATAACCCTAGCACATTTCCATGTACTCTTTTTTTGACCAATCTCTACCACGGGTTGGGTTTGGGTTAGAACGAAAGTTATCGTGAGAAGGGATCGTCACCTTAATTCTTATTCTCACACGATTCTTCGTCTCTCTACCAAACCTAATGACATCCTACTTGTAGCGTCTTCTAACTTGTCTAATCAATAAACATCAATTTATTCCTTCAACTTGTTAACCATTAGGCCTTGGCCTAGTGGCCAACTCCTTCGGTAAATGCCTTGCCTTGGGCGTGCCCACCCGGGTTCGATTCCAGGGAAGGACAGGTTGTCTTTTCCAGTGCTTGCTTATGAGGTATGACAAGTAGGGTTCACAAAATGTGGACCACGGGGCCATGAGGTCCCCGCCATTAAACCTTTTTTTTTTGTTAACCATGTAAACTTTGTATTCTCATTAAGAAGACTGGTGGAACTATGGCAGATATGTAGCGAAAGTCATCAAACAATATATCATGTTATTTTTGTGGGGTAATAATATGAAAGGGTGTTTGATGGTTCTTGATATGTAGCGAAAGTCATCAAACAATATATCATGTTATTTTTGTGGGGTAATAATTTGAAAGGGTGTTTGATTGGAGGATTGCAGGTAGCTGGAGGGCCTTCTACCATTAAAACACAGCTGTTGTAGGTGCAAATTGCATTGTTGTTGATAGTTCAGTGTTTGGAGTTGCAGATCTAGCTGAAGTTATATCCCTACACCACTACACCCTACTCAGAACAAGTGTGAATGAATCCCAAAAAATTTGGGAATTGCTATTCTGATTTGCTTTCTTACATTGTACTATTGTAGAGCTAGCTTTGTTAGATGTATTGATAAAATTGGGAGAGTCGATGTGAGTAGTTGTTGCTTATTCAGATTGTAACAGCTTTCTTCTATCAATATATCAGGTTCAAATATTTTATGTATCTCATTTGAATCTTCACACACACATATATATATCCCCCCCCCCCCCAACAAGACCTATTCTTGTAATCTTTCATTAGGTTTCTGCAGCTCTTATTTAGAATCAAACAATTGACTTTCTTTAAGAAGGTCAAAGAACGATTATATTTAAAAGTTAGGGTTTTGATATGATATGAAGGATAAACATACATGAAATGTTTAGGTTTTTGCAAATTGATCATAAATAAGTTTTGGATCCATAAATTTAATGCCTTTAATTTAATGTAATCTATCACCCCCACCATGACCGTTATGTCCTTGTATTTACTCTAATCTATATAAATTAAGTAATAATATATGGAAATATTGTGCAAGTACTTTTAGACAATCTATCACTAATTAAATAAACAGATTTAAGATTGTTTGTGGCAGTTGCTTTAGTTGGAGACTCTTGCTGCATTCTTGATACACCGGCTAGACCTGTATCTGTTTTGACTGCTCATAGGCTTGAAGAAAACATCGAAAAGTGAGTAGAATCTATCTTTTTTTAATCCTCGAATATATTTATTGATATGAAACGTTGGTTTGATTTCAAAATGCTAGAA